ATTCTGTGGAAAAATCCGCAGGTAATATGTTTATTCTAGTAGTATAAGGTTTAACTTTCATAAGTCATGACTATTACAAAATATCTTCCATACTTAAGGCTTGAACTTCCTTTATGGTCTATCATTATCTTCATCTTTCATATACTATAATCATAAATAAAAAATGAAATAATCATGTCTAAGTGCAAAGAAAATCAAAATGGTTTGAAAACTATAGAACATCATTTTACAATTAACAATACATTACTTTTAAATTTTAAATTTGATCTAACTCAAACTTCACAAAACTATTTTGTAAGATAATGATTTCCCCAATTATAAACTTATGAGCGGGTCATAATGTCTTATCTCATCTAATATGAAACTCTTAGCACATATCCTTACGCTAAAGACTGGAATCTGGAACATAAGCCAAGTGGCTTGATAGCACGTGACTCAACGAATCTTGGATATGTTTTTATACCATCATAGAATTTGGGTTGGGTCAGTCTCAACCCTTACAAAATAGGTTTTGTAATGAGATCTTTGCCCCTATGTTAAACATTTTTAGGCCTTATCTCATCTAATGTGGAAATCTTAACAAAAACAAAAAGGAATTTAGTAACAAACAATAAGATGCAACTCAACAAGGTTTGAGTTGGAGAATTCAATAACATTAATTAGAAATATCATCTATGACGAAAAAAGCATTCAAATCACTGCAGATAACAATGTTTATAAACACCCATGTTTCAACATCTAAAACTTCAACTTCACAATTTAGAAATTGCAACCAATAGCAAACACTGACTCAATCAGAAATACAATTTCAACTCATCAAAACATAAAAACTAAAATAAAATCCCTAGATTAAGAATTAGGGGTAAATCAAGGGTGGATTTAAATGATGATGATTGAAAGCAAGAAGATGAAAGTGGATCAAGGATGAATTGTGAGCTAAGTTACTTGAGGACGGAAAACAATTCAAGTTTGGGGGAGTTTGATAAATGGTACTTATACAGACTATTGGGTGGTTTTTATTTGTGTTTCCAATGACGATTTCCTTATTTTGTTTCCATTTTGTGTGCTTTAGTGTGTTTTTCATTGTTTTCACATAATAAGAATATTTTAGACCAAACTGGTATGGAAAAGATCAAAAATCATGCGGAAAGGAAGTCTATCGGTACTAAAAACCCATGGCTAACACAGTTGGGTCATGTCGCCTGACAAAGGTCATCTTGGCCCAAAGAGCTACCCCATACAAGTTGCCAGAGAGCAACACGACCCCCCCTCCTATGTGAACTGACACTGGAAATGTTGTTTGACACAGGTCGTATGAACCCAAAGAGCTACCCCTATACAAGCTTCTAGAGACTAACACACCACCCTTTATGTGAACTGACATTGAAAGTGTTATCTAACACGACCCCCCGGGCTTCCTGACAGTGTGTGTATTAAGTTTGATTCCAATTGTGAACTTTTAGCATTTTGTAACGGTTTTTCAACTTTTGTATTCCAAACTGATCCACTAAAGTCTTTAATGCCTCCTACAGTTACTAGCACAAATTAAGGGGTATTGGTTGTATTTTTTAGCTATAAGTAGGTTTAAAAATCATTGGATTAGGGAGAGACACTTCACTATATTTCATTCTTCAATTTAATTTTTCGTACTAAGCTCTTCATTGTATTTCTTTGTAACTTTTACTGCATTTTCCGAGTTTCTTTATCTATTCAAGTATTATCTTCATTCAAGTTTATTCTTTTCATTGAAATCGCTTTTACCTTATTTGTCTTTTATGCATGCTATGTATTATTTACCTTGTTTAATTGCGATCAATCTCACCACAAGTGGGTAGTCAATTAGGGACAAGGGGTCATGAGATCTATCTCATGGCGAATCCCGAGTGAGTCAACCAAATATGAACAATGAGAAAATATGAGCACTATTATTTTAGGATTTAAGCACTCAAATATATTTGAGTACGAGGCACCTGCATGACAAGGTGAAAACATAGTTGCATAGTTGCACCAGAAACATGTCTAGACACATGCTAACAAAGTAGGTGTAGTACAAAGTTATCTACTTTTCTATTATTTTCTCTTATTTTCTCATATTCTATTTTGAATGGTTAATTGGGTGTGTCGAGTTAGATAATCACGTAACCCATGTTCAACTTTTTATTCTGTTAATTTTAATTCATCTGCACTGAATCACCAATATTTTGATCACCTTACCTACACATCGCGAGGGTAAAAATCGCTAATCGAACATATCTCTCTGTCAATTACTATTTCACATTGTCATGTACTTGCGGCTTGCATCAGTACATAAATAGTAAAGGATGAAAATATATTATTGTCAACAGCGTGCAACTAGATGTCATTTGTTTGGCCTTCCACATACAACCTTCAGCTAACTTGGAGTACAAGTATACCAAAAAAGCGGCCCACAATTGTACTCATTAATCCATTATAATTCACAAAGTATCTGAGACAAACCACATTCACATAATAGGCACTCTTGCACACAAAAATGGGCATGCCAACATGTATACTCTCAATGTGTATGCTCTATGTTGCATAACATGTTCATCGTCACTAGTGAGCTGGCTCTACCGTTGTCAATTTTTGTGTGTACAACCTCTACAAGAATCCAAACCTAGTCGAGCACCCTCGGGTGTCTTCTACCTCCTTCAGGGTATCCCCTCGATCAACACCCAAATATGTCACCATCATCTCTAATAATCTTATCGTGGTCTAACAGTCTTCTATTGATCCGAAGATGTAGCAGCCATGAGACATCATCCAATGTGATGGACATCTCACCATGTGAAAAATGAAAAGATGACGTCTCAGAATACCATCTCTTAATGAACACGGACAACATATCATGGTTAATAGTAGTTACCATGTCCTACATAAGTCTCGCAACCTAGATAGTTGCATCACATTGTGAAACCACTGATCCTGAGGTTGAAGCACCTTCATAAGCTATCGATTATGGTTGATTCATTTTAAATCATGTTGCATCAAACAAACTAGAACTAACCGGTTGTTGGGAAAGTCACGTTTTTTCTCTACGAACCGATGCATGCTAAGATACTTTGTCAAGTCTCAATCTTTCTTGATTACTAGCCATAATTCTTATAATTAAACCACACAATTGTATAAAAAATCAATTCTAGATGAAACGCAAAATAAAAACAAGCAAACATTACAAATAGACCAAATATGAAAATGCATTTTCGAATTTCATTTTATACGAATACGAAAATGCATTTTTGGATTAACTTGCAACTCAGTAAACACAAAAATGGCAAAATGCATGCAAATCAAACTTTCTTAAAACATGCTCATCTAAATTACCTATCAAATACGTTACTCAGTTAAATAACTTATCTAAACTACCTATTACACAATATATCAAACACATTGCTCAGTTTCTGCAAATGTATAGAGAAATTAAAAACTTAACAAATGCGAGTATGATAGTGAGCTCTTTGATCGATTGAATGTTGATAGTAGAAATTTGGACGTGAGTTAAGAGAATTTGAGAGTAAAAAAGAAATAAAGAAGAAAAATCTAACACGCGTTTTGATTAAAACACATCGAAAATGCTTCTCAGTAAGTTATAAGAAGATGTTCTTCAATATTAATTTTTGACATAAAATTGAAGTCTAACTCAATAAAGAATGAATTGTGTGTGGAATAAATGCATCGTGAAATAAAATTATGGATTTTAGAGATAGTTTTAATTTTTCGGTAGGAGGAATCTTTAAGGTGGAATGACCAATTCTTTTTTATTTTCTTCTTACAATTTTAATCTTTAAGTTAAAACCATTTAACATACAATTAGAAAAAAAATTTATTGTATTTCTTTGATTCATGAGTATTATATAAATAAGTTTTTGTTTCTTTTGATTTTTTTTTCTTAGTTCCTTAAAATATTTTTCCAAACAATAGTCTTCAAATATTTTCCGTGTCCTTGTAAATATATTATTTGTTTATAGCTGTTAAAAAAATAAACATAACACTTAATAAATAGATTTAAAATGAAAGATAGGAAACCATTGTTTAGAGAAAAAATAAAAAATAAAATAAAATGGTATATTTATAAATATCAACAATATATTTAACTTTAAATTTTACTTTTAAAATGCACTGTAATTATTAAGTTTTTAATTTATTTTTGTACGACTCATAATTTTTATATTAATATCTTGGATATAAAATGAGCTCTTTTTTTATCCAAGAATTCTTTTTGATAATCCACAAATAAAAAGAAGATTTGTAGACCTCCAAGACCGTTGTGCTGCCGACCCTGATCCTCCGTGCAATGTTAAGGAAAATCATATAGACCATAATTAGAGCTTATGCTAGAAATTACACATAACAAAAACATGCAAATGTAAAATTTAAATCAAAATAACAAAAAGTGTGTATTTATAAATTTGTGACACCCTTTATTTGAATAAGATTTTAATGAAAAGGAATGTCAATAACATCTTTTTTATGCATTGTCCTCTAACACAACAGGTTTGGGTTTCATCCCCACTTGGAATCCATCTTTTTAGGCCTAACATTATCATTCATTTCATGGTTGGAAGTGTTTCCATGTTCATGATTTCTTGTAACATGTGGAATAAAAATCAAAGCATTTCATTGCTAATATGAGAAATACAACAAAAACATATAATGAAAGTTACTGCAAGAAATATAATAGTGAGTGATTAACACCATTAGCTTTTTCACCTAGCAAATAGAATCTAATAGTTGTTAATATAATATTTTCTCAAACTCGTGCTTTTGTTTTCCAAATATATTATTGATTTTGAACATCAGTAGCAATTTAACATCACAGAAATATCAATGTCAATGAACACAGCCAAACAAGGAGTTGTTTGATAGAACCAAACTACATAAACAAACAGCCCTTAGCAAGTTAAGAAAAAACACATCTTGTAGCCTCATTAAGGTCTAACTTTCATAACTCATGATTATTACAAAAACATCTTCCATACTTACGGCTTGAACTTCCTGTATGGTCTGCCATTATCTTCATCTTGCATATGCTGTAATCATTAAAAAAAAATCATGTCCAAGTGCAAAGAAAATCAAGATGGCTTGAAAACCATATAGAACATCATTTAACAATTAACAATACATTGCTTTTAAAATCTGAACTGAACCAAACTAAAACTTTATAACACTACTTATGAATGGGTTAAATAAGGACTGCCCCCAATTATAAACTTAGGAACGGATTAACTAAAGACTACCCCCAATTATAAACTTATGAATTGCTCTTAATGTCTTATCTCGTCTAATATATATCTCTCAACACACACCCTTACACTAAGGACTAGACATCTGTAACATGACCCAAGTGGCATAATAGCATGTGACTCAACGAATCTTAGATAGGTTTTGATACCATCATGGAATTTGGGTTGGGTTAATCTCAACTCATACAAAATAGGCTTGTAATAAGAAGTCTGAATGTGGGAATCTTAACAGAAACTAAAAGAAATTCGGTAACAAACAACAAGACGCAGTTCAAGAAGGTCTGAGTTGGAGAATTCAGTAACATTAATAAACAATATCATCTACGACGGAAAAAGCATTCAAATCACTGCAGATAACAATGTTTATAAACACCCATTATCCAACATCTCAAACTTCAGCTTCATAATTTAGAAATCACAACCAATAATTCAACCAACAGTATAAAATTACTGATAGAAACACAAACATTAACAATTCCCAAAAGCTAAAAAAATTCCAACTTTAATCAAAATAAAATTATAAAAGTCAATGCATTCAAATCAGATATACAACCTCAATCTCAACTCATCAAAACCTAAAAACTAAAATAAAATCCCTAAATTGAGAATTGGGGGTAAATCAATGGTGGATTGAAAAAATGATGATCGAAAGCAAGAAGATGAAAGGGGATCTTACGAATTCCTTGACGATGCCTTTGTAGACTAGTACGGGAACAGCGAGACCGAAGATACCAACGAGAAGAAGGTTACGGCGAGTCCAACGGAAATTGTGTTCGAGATTCTCTCTAACAGCGCCCCATTCTTCAATGTATTTGTTCTTGTTTGCTTCCATTCCTCCACCCATCTTTTCTTCTCCTTCTGCTTCTTCCTTTCGATCTCTCTCTTCCTCTTCTCTCACATCACTCACTTCTATTACCTCTCTGTAAATGGGCCTGGGCCTAGGCCTAACCCGCCTAACTAACACTCTCTACACCTCTTTTTCTTTTCTTTTGCTTTTTTATTTTTCTTTCAACTATTGATGTAAAATTATATCATTGAAAGAAAAACAAAAGTTTATAAAGCAATTTAATTGATATGCACCAACTCCACACAAAAATGTATACCATTAGCGGATTATAATTGTTGATTTATTTGAATGGTTTAATTTTTACTTTAATCATTTAAAAAGTAATATAAATAGATAGTTGTGATACATTGTAATGTAAAATTTATAAATAATAAAGTATTTAAAGCTCGTGTAATAAAATAATTCAGAATAATAAAAAAAAAAGAGAGAATAATAAAATTAAAAGAAAATATTCAAAAGATAAACCAACAAATTTAAAAAGCAAATGTCTAACATATAAAATTATAATAATATGTATCATAAAAGGTATAAGTATAACATAAGATATCAACAAACAAACAAAAAATAAATAAATAAATAAATAAATAAATAAATAAATAATAATAATAATAATAATAATAATAATAATAATAATAATAATAATAATAATAATAATAATAATAATAATAATAATCTGACCAGTTGATCAGAATAGGTGAGTGGTCAACAACACGTCCGTAATTTTGAACGATCAACGAAGAGGATGAAGGGTTGTACCTGCAGGCACTCTGATGCTTAAGTCAGTTCGAGTGAAGAGGTAAGTAAGAAAGGGTTAAAGAATAGAATACATGACCCTCTTGTAGATGAGAGTTTTTATAGTGAGTCCCCAACACTTGGTCAATGGTCTCTGTTATGGGCTGAGTGTTCAGGCCCACCACGAATAACTGTCAGAATTCCTACGTGAAAGTAAGGATGAACAGCTCGTGCTCATCGTCCTGGGTCAACCGCTGCGCACTGCACGGATAGTGGATGAACTTGTCCATTACGAAAGACAAAACGGTTTCGCGAGGTGTGCGGGTTCAATTAGTGACATGTCCTTGGGTGAGGAGCACGTGGGGAATGTGATCTCCACTGACCCCAACGAGTTGGGTCAGCACTCTGGACTGTCCTTGACGTAGAAGTAGATTGGAATGTGCTCAACGACGGGTCAGCCACAAGCCCACTCCAGAATAGGAGCCCCCCAATTCGTTGCTCTCAAGCAAAGGATCAATGACTTAGAGTCAGTTCGTGTGTCGAGGAGGAGCAAGGGACTCTACGCGACGAGAGCGTTCATTCGGGCTCGCAATTGTCGTAGACGGTGCTACCCATGGGCATCTCTTGTTTGTGAGTTTTCGCCCACGAGGATGATGTTTTACTCATAACTCGTTGGACTTTGCTTATAAGGAAGACGCATTGTGTAGGGATTATGGTCGAAAGTTTAGCTTGCGCTCATGTTAAGCGTTTGGCTTTGCTTGCGAGTTATCATGCTACCTGTAAATTTGCTTCAATTTTTTCTCTGAGACCATGCTCGTAAGGGGATGCGAAAGTTTGTCGCTTGTGTTCGACAAGAGATGCTCGACGTCTTGGAATCCGGAACATTGATGGGACTTGAAAAGATAAATGTTTTGTCCCCTTAAGCCACGCGTCACAGCTATTAAATGTGTAATTATGGCCTATGAATAGGGGTAATTATGAGTCAAACAGTGACACGCTTGCCCATGCAGTGGAAATGGCTTATAAATAGGAAGAATGGATGGACATTTGCAAAGTTTGCTCTTCCCTCTACTTTTCGTCCGAGTTGTAGAGCATCGTCGCTGTCGTTATCATTGTTAAACCGTCATCAACCTCGTCGCTTTCCCAAATCAAATAAGTTTTCCTCTTCTCCTGGCTTGCATGTTGATGTTAGATCTAGAATATCAATTTGCCTTCCCTTTATGTTCGGTTCTAGCGGGTGTTGGTGTTTGGAGGTGGTTTGGTCATCCCCAAACGCCGACTGTTGGGGGGTTCCTCTGCTAGAACCGTGTTTTTTGAGTAGGAAAGTTAGTGTTTCGTGTGTTATCTCTTCTGATAGCCAATTCGGCGCCACCGTTAAGGCGGTGAATATAACTTGTGTCGATGGAGCTCAAGAATTTTCTGATGAAGCTTCGTGTCGAAGAGGCTCTTCCATACAAAGACTGCTCGCCGAGCCTTCCTGTCGAGGGGATCTTCCATGTGGTTTTGTTGGTGAGTTGATTGAGACATCCATCGAGATAAGGTCTTTGTAATTTCCTTGCTTGTCGTTGAATAAGGGCTTTGGTCGAGGGCAGCGTCCCCGTGCCTCTCTTCGCCCTTTCACTTGATTTGCAGTGGAAAGGTGGATTTTATTTTATCGTCAAATTCATTGTTGTCCTCTGCTTTTCAGGTTTGTATGGCTCGTAGCACCGATAGCCTTCGCTTGGTTGACACAATTAGTGATCCTAAATTAGATTGGGTCGGGCCAGAACCCCGAGGGATAGCCTCGTGTTTTGCTGACTTCCCGGTGAGTGCATTTACGATCATCAAAGAAGGCACAAAATATCTGGATGCTCCGGAGAACGGGGCGGTTTATAAAACTGAGCGGGAGGAACGAGTTTGATCGCGTTTCTCGAGGAACCTTTTTGCTATGTATGAGTATGCCTTCAAAGAGTTGGGACTTTGGTTGTTGTTCAGCGATCTCCAATTGGGCATTTTTGATCGGTTAGGGTTAGCACCCTCTCAGCTGCATCCAAACTCGATTGCGTGTATTTGGGCCTTCGAGATTGTGTGCCAATATCTTGAGATCGGTGCCACAATTCCTTTGGTCTTCTGTTGTTTCCACCTTCAACGACAAACTTTGAAGGGGAAACACAGTTAGGTGTCCCTTAAGCAGCAAAAGAAGGTGTTCAAAACGTTTACAGGCTCCATTCGCACTTTTAAGGATATGTATTATACAATTAAGCATGTGGCATGAGCAGCCATCAATTCCGTGTTCAAGCTTATGGTTATAACCAAAGAATATGGGAGTATGTTTCGCGACGAGGACGAGGATGAGGTGACGAGGATGGTCTCGAGGTTCCCCATTTTCTGGCGTAGCGCCCATTTTGATGAGAGTATGGATTATTATATTATTAAGCCTAACGAGTTGGACTCCGAGGACCAACGTGGCTTCGACGAGCATGGTCAACCCATTTATGAGGCTCGATATATCAATACTAAGGAGCTCCTCAAGTGTGATAGTGTCGAGAATGATGCATTGCTTTTAGGTAGTTTTTTTCCTTTTAACTTGTTTATATGCTTATTATTTATCGATATATTAACCTGTGCCCATCATTTGTCATAGATAAAATGGCAGACCTTCAAGATCATGAGATCAAGATGGTGATGAACAAAGGGAATAATGCAAAGGGTGGAAAGAGGAGCTCTAAGAATCAGATTGTCCATGTCCTGAACCAGTCCAAGGGTGACTTCGATCTTGATGCTTCTTCTTCATAGGGGGAAACCAGTCTTCCCCTCAACAGGACACCCCGACCAAGAAAAGGTAGCGCACGGAGGATATCATGGTTATAGATCTCATGGGGGATGTTGTCGAGGACAAGTTCATGTTGCCCCCTTGTTATTCTAACAGGGGTCTCTTTGGGGGGCATTTTCTAGTTGTGCCTTGGGAAGAGTCTTAGGCCATCCTGGGCCTCGATGCGGCGGGCAGGAAAAATGCATTGGTTCAGGATGCGGCTGCTTTGATGAGGGTCATGGAAGTGGCCTTGATCCTTAATGATGAGGAGACATACTCTGCTGACGAGCTGGAGAAGTTATGGACAACAAATGCAAAGCTTAAACGGAGATGCTTAGGCTGGAGACCGATTTTGATGACTATAAGATGAAGTATAAGATCTAGAGTGAGATTGTTACTGAGCTATGTGAGAAGAAAGAGGAACTGACCAGTAGATTGCGGATATGACTGCTTTGACGCTCGAGCAAGCTACCGAGAAGAAGAGCTTCGAGGATAAGATTTTTGCCTTGGAAGCTATTGCAACCCTCGTCAAGGATGAGGTTGCCGACATGAAAGCCTTACTGACCTATGTCGATCTAGTTTCCCGTATTAGGAGCCCCAAGCAGGATTGTGTGGATGCTTTCGAGATGAGCTTTGTAAATATAGTGGCTCAGATCCGAATCATGAACTCCGGAGTTGAGCTCGTCACTGAGGGGATCGAGTTCCTGTACAAGGCGGTTGATGGTCAGATAGTCACTCCTCCCATATATCCATTTGATGATGATAAGGAAGAGGAAGAGCTCAACAATGAGGGGGAGCACAATGTTTAACTTTGTTTATATTGTTTGTACTTATTCGAACTTGCGCACCATGATTTTGTAAAATTTGGATAGTGGGCTTTACCCATTTTTTTTATTGTAGTATTATGACATCATCAGCCTTCGTGGTCATTATTTAATCACATTGCACTCTTTTGACATGATCGTTTATGCCTTTGCTTTCCTGTATGCTTTTTTTGCCAAGTACTTATTTTCCTCGGTTATGCGTTTTGGATGCTTGTCAATTTGAGTTTCTTGTAATAAGATGTTTGTTTGCAAATTATTTTTACTGAGTATTTAAGGGTCTTAATCGACAGCGTTGTTTCTCGACAGTGTAGGGAACTCAACGAGTGACTGGAGTTGTGTTCCGTATTGATAGCGCTGGAAAGATCTCAGTCGGGATCTTAGCTCCACGGTGTGAACCTTCCACCTGGAGTTAGGTGTTTTTCCTTAATGGTACGATGGTGGCGGAGCTCGGTTGTGGATTCCTCGTCGGGCCAAGAATGTGCTCGTCAAAGAGTGGAAACTTGCCTTTTTATTTAAGTTTGGGACGTTGTGCTTGAACCCGAGCACGCCTCTGTGGTCAGGACGTACCCTGTCACCGCCGAATGGGGTACGCCAACTGTGAGGCCTAACTGTAATACTTTTTCATTTTCTCGACGTTCCATGGTCGAGCA